AAACAGATTCCTTTACCCTAGAAATCTGTACCTTGAACTTATTTCACTTCTTGTTTAATTGTAACAACAGAAGCAGCTTGTTCCACAGCCTGTCTCCAGTTTTTGGATTTTCAACACACTTGGGAAGCGTGCACGCTTTGGTAAAGCAGCTGACCACCACCAGCTCTGAAAGCAGGGTACGAGGGAGTCACAGGGCCTCAGTACCTGTTAGCATAACAAAATGCCCAGGAATCCCATCACAAGGAACAAGTATTCCACAAAACACACTCTCCAGCTCATACGGAGGCTGTGTGTGGCGCATTACGCCCACAGGTGGAATACGGAGTTACTCCTCCATAGAGAGGACATGCTCACAACTGCGATAGCTTTCAGTAGGACAGTGCCAGACCCCAAGTCCTCAGTGCTCTTGCAAAACCCTTCACATCAGTTAAAGCAGAGAATACACAATTAACACCATCTGCTAGGTTCGGGCCTTACCAGTATTTTTTTTAATAAACAGGTAAAAGACATTGTCTACTCTGTCAGTGTATCTACTATACTTGTACTTAAGATACTTTCATGTGAGACCAGTTTGCCAATTTTTCAATACGACTTTATTTTTGGAAGATAAAGAGCAGTATCAATCACAGTACTGAACAAACTGTTATTTAATTCTTTTGGTAAAAAAATAGTAATTAAATTTTGTCATCTATACATAAAAATGCACCAGATCAAAGATCTGCCCAGTCCACTCTCCTGTGCCTAACAGGATCAGTAGCAGATGCTTAGGAAAAATAAGAAAGAAGTTAAATATGCTGCTTCCACTGATTATTTTAACTTGTGTGCTGCCAAGTTCCAGTGACCTGGATCTTATGGGATTTCCTGAACTGAAAGCCACGTGCACATCACTGTTTTCAATAGCTGTTTCTGGACTTTTCTTAAATGAATTTGTACAACTCTTTTCATTTATTTATCCTTTTGGTTCAAAACTTCTTGTAGCAATGAGTTACACAATTAAACTATGTTTATTTGCTTTGTTTTGATTCTAAAACTGCTTCCAAGTAGTTCAGTTGGGTTCTCCCCTTGTTCCTGCTTTAGTAAAAATAAGGAATGCTCATTCTCATCTCATCTTTGCCAAAATAGTCACAGTTTTATTGATTTCTAGCATATCTATCTATCATCTCCCCTATTTTTTCTAAGGTTAGGAATATACCTCTTCATTTTTACTATACCATTTTATAAGATAGAGAGTCCCACACACAGTATTCAGGAGCGAGCAGATCAAGGATCTTTTACGCAATAGCATCGTGACGTTGACTGAATCATCAGAAGCATGACGTCCCTCTACCAAAAAGCCATTTTGACTCTCCTTAGTGTATCATTTACCAGTATGCCTACTGCAAGCAAGCCAGTACAGCATACACCACAGTTAGTAGTTTTGCAACTTCAGTTTCAATTGCAATTTATGGGATCCTGTAGAATACTGTTTGATTGCTGTTTCAGATATTATTCTTTCGGATTATTTGTTTTAAACTTAGATCTGAGACAATTCGTCCAACTCACACTTCAGTAGGTTCCCTTGTAACAAACTCCACTGCAAACAAGCGCTTCACTTTTTTTACTGTGTCAGATTCCTCGAACAGAAGGTGTCCTTTCATGTCTCCATTATTAGCTCCACAGACTTTTTAGGAGGCTTCTCTCTCATCTTTGGTTAAAAAAGGACGGTATTGACTTTTCTTAAAAATATTGCATTGGGATCTGCAAAAAGATGTTTTCTTACAGGTGGCTTTTGGGAGGATATTTTATCTAAACATTTCTCAGTCCAAGAAGGTTTGAGTTCAAATATTACACATTTCAGTATAGTAGCCTGGCCGCTCAGGTTTTTCTAATAAAAATGCAGAGGTAGACCCTAGAATACAGAGCAAAGTCCAGTATTTCCCATTCTCCGTTTTCTCATGGGTCAAGCCTGATCTCTGGACCATCAGCTGAGGTCCCTTCTTCCTAATTGCTCTCTAGCTTCACAAATGTTGCATACTTGGCTACACACTTGGCCCATTTCAAGAAAGACCACTAATATAACTCCACCGTTGCTCAAGTGTGTTCCAGCAGTATTACAGGAAACAAAAGTCAGGACAGGTGTATCACCAGACATACCTAAGTAGCCAGACATGGATTTTATGACTTGATGTGTAGGAGTTTAGGCACAGAACTGCACAGATTTCTACCTTGACAACATATTTACTGACTTTGTTGAGATGCACATGTCAACACCTAGGCTGAAAGGCATGTCCCTGTCACATCCATACTGGAGAAGTCCCAGCCTTCTTTGGAGCACAACAGCCACATTCACACTACATTTTGCAAGAGTATCCTGTCGTATAGCACTACATACTTTCATGTCTCACCAACACAGGCACAAATATCTTGTTACTATTATTCCACCTGTCTTGAGGTGAAGGGCCATCGCCAGCACAGTCCCATGGCTCCTCTTTTAGCTTAGTGTGCAGTTGTACTGCCTGCACCAGGCAACAAACATCTTGCCTCAGGGCCACTCACATCAACCACAGTTGAGTGTTTATAACTTCACATCTTCTTGTCAAGTTGGGCGAGCTCTGGAGCAGAGGTGTGTGGGGTGCTAGTGACATCACAACAAAATATTCACAGTGATTCAGAACTACTTGGGAGCTGCACTTTTCCAGGAGTGTGCCTACATCTGTCCAGAGTGTACCTGTACGGCCAGGGCAGGTACTCAGCAGAGGGTACCAGCAGGGCACATAAGTGCCACAGAGCCACAAGACAGGTTGGTGCTGCGCAAGTGCACCTGTATCCAGCATGTTACTGCTTCATTGTCCAAAACCAATTGCTCCTTATTTTATCTACATGATCCAAGTGGACCCTACAAGAGTGACAACTATTCAGCAATGATAGCAAAAGTTACAATGGGTAGCACCTTAGGAGCATTGCCTACAACCTATAGAAGCAGTCAAAACACACCCAGAACTTCAGGTAAAGGCTGGGTGTCATTCATGCACAAGTCTGCAGTACAAGGGGGGAATGAAACGCCCAGCAGGATGTAAGAAGGCTGCTATTTCACCGGGCTCATGCCGTGCTACAAGCAGGCACTTATAGCCAGATCCAATGCTGATGAGATTATGCACTTTTTGCAATTATTCTGTGTTTGGGCCCCTTTGGAAAATGCAACTTTGGAAATACAGCCTTAAGCACAGGCAGGTCAGATGCACCAGACACCAAAGGATTAAGTCCTACATATGCAAGCACTACTAAAATCATGTATACTGTATCTAGGCAGCAATGTCTAGTTAAGAGGTGATTTACTTCCAGGTAGAACCCCTAGCCATAGTATTGTGTCCAGTGATATTGCCTCCCAGCCAAAGCAAGCCAATTTCTCCTGTGAGTAATCAAGAGTTCCTCCTTGTATCTACTTCTCTCACCACCCACAGCACCAGGAAAGAGGCAGGAAAGGATGAAGCACCGCTGGAAGATTGTTGCTGCCCTCACCCTTCTCCCTCCAATACAATACCCACATTAACACATTTGTCTGCTGAGTACTCTCAGTGGAGTGCATTGACCTGAACAGACTCATTGCTGCTCCTCTGGAGTGATATCAGCAGTATTGTATTCACTAGTACACTGTGAAAATACCTTTTTTACTTAGTACAGTCAGGATCATTCTCAAAGATGATGACCTCTAGTTGGCATGGGTTTTTTTCCTGTATCAAATTACTTTAGTTTTAGTTTCTTCTGTCCTAGTTGCTCCGCTTTTTTTTGGATACTTGTTTTTATATTGAAACTATATTTAGTTTATGCTTTTCCTTTACATTTTTTCTGAATCCTCCCTTTTTGAGGAAAGGATAATGCAAGAGTATGCCAAAGGTGAGAGCATCTGCTTGACAGGTAGACATAGCTCTGGAGAGGGCAAACCTGGACTTAGTAGCCAGTAAGAAAGGGAAAACAAGAGGAATGCGAGGTTTTTGGACATTTAAGAGGAGCCTGTGGGACTACACAAAACTCCGTAAAGAATGTGCAGGGGAAGGGGATCAGGGAGGAATAAAGGGGGGATAGAAAGGAGCCAGTTGCATCTAAACAGTGTCTGGTGAGTATGCATGTGACCAAGCTCTGAGCTTGATGAGCCCAGTCTGTCCTGTCTTCTTATTGAATCCTTCCTTAACCATCTCTCCATCACCTCCCTCTACCCCACATACGGGAGTGCTGTGAGGATGAGTTGCCAGCATTTCAAGGGGCAACTGGGATGGCACTCGGTGCCCGGAACTGGAGTCAGCCCTGGGGTGCAAGCACCCCTGGCCAGTGGCATCAGTAGCTGGAGTAGGTGGAGGTCTTGGCTGCAGCCACTGGGGTGGGAAAGGGGTGTGTCCCAAAAAATATCTACTGAGGGCGACAGACATCAGTGATAGCACCTCTGGGAAAATGTATTTTAGAAAGGGCAAAATGCTGCATGGCAGTGAGGAATGAGGACAAAAGTGTGAGAAGCAGCACCTCTGTGACCATCAAAGTCAGAGAAGGACGGGAGGAGGTGCTCCAGGTACCAGAGCAGAGATTCCCCTGCCGCCCATGGAGAGGTCACAGTGGAGCAGGTATCCACACTGCAGCCCATGGAGGAGGACCATGGTGGAGCAGCTATTTCCCTGCAGCTCATCCAGAGGGAAGGAGAAAGAGAGAGGAACCACTGTGTACCAACCATACCCCTGCCATTCTCCCTGCGTCACTTAGGGTTGGACAGAGCATTCGGGACTGAAAGAGTGACATTCAGCCTGGGACAGGACAGGAGGAAAGGTGGGTTTTAATGTTTGTTTCTCACTACCTGAATCAATTTTAATTGGCAATAAATTAATTTTCTCCAAGTCAAGCCTGTTTTTCCTCTGATAGTAACTGGAAAGCAACCTCCCTGCCTTTATCATGACCCAAAAGCTTTCTTGTCCTATACTATCCCCATGTCCCACTGAGGAGAGGAGTGAGCAGCTGGAGTTTGGCCCTTAGCTAAAGTTAACCCACCACAGATATCAGACAGGCAGGGATACCATGCTAGTATTTGAGATGATGAAGTCATCTTCATGGTATAATCAACCTTTCATTTTTAAAAATTAGATTGGAATTACAAGAGGAATTTGGGGCTCTTCCTATGCTTTTCTAATACTTTCTCCATCACTACAGTTATACTGTTAACTATTATAAGTAAATGTGTACAACTATGTAAGAAGCTGCCACAAAAATAAATTCAAATCGCATCCATGATGGTTACATCAGTGGGGAAAAAAACCAACCAAACAAACAAAAATCAAAACAAAAAACAAGAGCATTTGTCCCTTAAAAAAAGTATTCGCTAAAAGCTAATCCTTGGCTACTTTTAAAAACAAAACAAAATATAACATTACTCAATAAATACCTTTATCTGTGTCTACATCTCTCTTGTTGATTTTTTCTTCAGCCTCCTGTGGTATTCTACTGCTGGTATTTAAACAACTCACTTGAAGGAGAATACAGAAGTTGCTGTATTCCAGAAGTCTTCTAAAATAACTCACATTATTGTAAGTTCTGCTTCACTAAAACTGATCAATCCATTAATAACTGTGAAGGAATTTCACTGCCTCCTTGCCCTCTGGAAATTGAACACTCAAAAAATGGTAAATCAATCCTCTTACTAACCCTTAAACTAGTACAGAAAAAGATACTCAGTTTGGGCAGTGGACTGGCACCAGCCTCCTTACTCTGAAGCATTTGTCTGAACTATATCAAGCTCTAAAATTAAAGTCCTGCCAAGTTCCTCTTCCTTATGTCATCAAACGTTCATTTATTTGAAAGACATTTTAAGGGACAGAATGCTATTCACATGCCACTTAAACTTCAACATTCACTTGAAAAGTTCTATATGTGTGGGCTTACACATTTGGAAGACAGTAAACGTATGCCTGTACTTTCTGAACTGTTGCATAATCTCTTTGGTTTTTTACTTCACAACAATCCTCCTAATGAAAAGGAGGAAATTAGACTCTGGGGAAGTTCAGTGAAACAACACATTATTCTGAGTGGAAGTCAAAAAAGGGAGGATTTTTTTTCAGAGACTGTATACACCTCCTAAGATCATCCCATGCACTGTGGCCATTTTCCACTTCAACAACAGTGGAAATTTAGCAGCAATATGTTTCCCCTAAGCCTTTTAGTGGTGCAAAAATCAGCACTGGTGACTCTGGCCAAGGTTTTTAAAAACTTCAGCTGTTTTACCAATCCAGTCGGCTGATCAATGGAGCTTTGGAGAAACCTAAGACAAAAGTACATACTCTGCAAATTAGGTGTTAAGTGCAGTACGTGCCCCTTCAAACTCTTTGACCTTACAACTGTTCTGTGTACTGCTTACACATAATCAAGTATCACGGATCGTCCTTACCCCATGTGCTAAGGAAAAACATATGCATGCACTTTTCAAATAAATTACAGGCTATGACTAAGACCCACTAGCTGATCCATTTTCAAGGCATTGTAAAAATTACAACAGGCAAGGAACTTGTGAAATTTTATAAAAGAAGCTCGCTTTGAAAAGCTGGAAAATTTCATTCTCTTCTCTCATGCAATTGATGCCGTGAAAAGCCGGAATTGAAGACTCAATAGTCGGCAGACTATTAAGCAGGTATTCTTTATTGCGGCGCCGGGCACACGGGGGATATCTCCTCCAAACGTGTGCACCGAAGAGACACAGTTACTAGGTATTTATGCTATGTTAACATACATATTCATTACATTTCCAAGAAATGTTTATCATAGTAATGGCTTTTCCAAGAATTCATTAATATATGGTAATGTCCATCGCACATGTTTGTTTGGCGTCTCTCGGCAGGGCAACCTCGAGGAAGCTCAGGCACTGAGCTGGATTTGCACGCAATGTGGCTCTCCAGCTCTCAGACTCTTTTCCCGAGCGAATGCTTTATTTATAAGAGTGACAGTGTGCTGTGAAAGCAGGGACAGCACACAGCCCCCAGCTATTTCTGTGTCTTGTATACACGTCAGTGCCCTGTGTATACATTAGGCTTGAAAATGTAAGTGGATCAGAGAGACGTATCATTTGCTGGTATGTAAACAGACAGATGAGTTTATAGATCGCATTAAACCCCAGTGGCTGTAACTAGTGGAAGAGTCTTCCTGGAGTCCCATCCCCCATCTCAGTCCTCCTTGTTCCTCCTTACACCATCAACACCAACACCACGAGCTGGACTCACCTCCTTCAGGGAGCAAATAAAGGCATCTTTCCAAAGGAGGAATCATAGCTGAAGAATATTCTTCCCTTGATCTTGTTCCCTTAACCTTTTATTGCTCCTTAGAAATGGCAGATGCTGCTGGCGGAATGTATTAATCCACAGATTAATCTGCAAAGTCTTTCCATAAGTCAGTATTGATCCTCCACTCAGTCCCAACAAAGGTGAAAAGTTTGTCTTGATCTCTCCCTTCTTTCTCTCCTTTTTTGCTCCTTCTTTTACTCTATACCTCTGGGTAAGGAAAAAATGCAGTTGCCATATTTTGTGTCTAAAACAGTTTGGTAAGGTTATTCCAAAGACTGTTAATGCTGAAGCTTGAAATTACACTCTCAGGGGGGCAGCCACCAGTGTTCTTGTGTGTTGAGCAAATCATGCCAACTGATTACACACTGTTGATGAAACATTAACTATTTAATGCATTAGCTTTTTGTGAGTGCGTAGAACAGCTGTGCACTTGGGCTGTGCCTGCCCCATTCATAGCATGTTTGTTTTCTCATAGCTCCCCAGTTGCTCTGAGCTTGCTTTCCTCCTCAGCTGGGACTTGAGTTACCTCAGGTCTTCTGAGCATATTGAAAATATTTCTTGTGTGGTTCATTAATTATTCCATAAGCCTTGGCTTTGAGGCTTATGTACACTTATGGCAATGCATAAATAATAAAGAAGTTATTATTCTTTATATGCAGAATATATAGCTGATCATAAAAAATCATTCACGTAGCTGCATTATCATTCTTTTTAATGCATTACATGCTCTGCTTAAGTATATATCACAGTTCAAGTTTTGTTTTAAGCCATTTTTATAAAATATAAGCTGTTCTAATGTAAAACCTGCAGGAGTTCATAAAGAATTTTGCTGAGCCCTAGTAACTGAAGAAGGAAGAAGGAATGGTAAAATTCATCTTATTTTCCTGTTTCGTATAACGTGCCAAATAAAGAAACTTCTTACCCCTGAGAAAGACACCAAGTAGAAAAAGCCCTAGACAATCTTTTATATAGTTCTCTCCAGGATGAAAAGACAAGAGTAATCCCAATGTTATGTTAAAATTAAAATTTCCGTACTGGATATCAGTGCATAGAATTTTGGTCAATTAAATAATCAAATGAAGTCTCAAAAGCATTTTGAGTACAGACTGTCTCTACTGCTGATGTTACAGTAAGCCCATAAATATTTGATATACCTGAGAACACCACATTTTCTGTTTCCTTTGCATTAGGTACACAGTATATCACCTCTGTCTTTTGTAGAACTCAAACATGATGTCTGTCTACATAATATGATGTGTTAATTTTTTCAGACAATATATTTAAGAAGACAATTACCTTCAGAGACTTCTGACTATATTTAATAGAGTATGTGCTGAATAAACAAGGATAACATGTCAATCTGTAGGAAAAATTACAATTGACTAAATTTTCATTCAGTTTTTATTGAAATCCTGCATGTAAGTTATGTTGAAATATCAGTGAGGATTTACTTTAAAACTCAGTAAAAAACAATGAAATCCCAAACCTTGTAATTAGTATTAGTATTACTGAAAATACAGCAAGTGTTTAGTACATGATAATCACAGAATCACAGAATCACAGAATAGTAGGGGTTGGAAGGGACCTCTGTGGGTCATCTAGTCCAACCCCCCCGCCGAAGCAGGGTCACCT